GTGTTTTACAGCATCTCCAGTACCCTGCAGAAATCAAATAGACAAGACTGACACTCTTCTGCTGAGTACTCATCTGCATAAAGCAATAACAGTTTTATGGGGTTTGAAGAGGATTTATTTGTGTGTGTGTGTGTTTTATAGCATCCACAAATGTCTTTCTCACTTGTGACCTCTACATTTGGTTTTATTTGTTTTATCAAATATGTTCAAAAGCTGGTACGGTAAAAGCTGTAAAATCTGATCATATCACAACTCTGTGATGGGAATTGAATTACAAGATCTCTGCCTCTGTGAAGTCTCCCAGTCTTGCCCATTGGTAAGATGACTCATTTAGCCACATGCTGGAACTAATTATTGATGCTCCATTAGAAGTTCCAACAGAATGGGAGACTGAGTTCTCCTTTTCCCCTTTTGTTCTTAGTGCACACCACAGTACTGCAGAGGCAGCCCAGCATCTCAGTGAGCAGAGGAAAACCAGGGATCCCCCCTCGGGAAGTCCCTTGCCGTAGAACAGGCTTTTCTCAACATAAGTTGCTTATTGTTTTCTCATTATGGGCTGTTACGTATAGTTCAAATGGCCAGAAGTGCCGCTTTGGTTTTCCTCTAACAAGGGCTTCTTTATTTGGCAGCAGTTTTGAGAAGGGGTAGGGAAGGAGAACTCCACAGGACGTTCTTTGTCCTCTGTGTCTTGTTTTGGGCATGGGTTGGTGAGCTGGGGTCAGCACAGGGCCTCTGAGCTATCAGCCCCAGGCCTGGTGGGTGGGGAACACCATTCCAGCCACGCTTTGACGCAAGGGGCTGAGCTGTGAGTGCTTTAGGGGACATGTACTGCTAGCTACGCACAGTAGACTCAGTGCCTTATTGTATCTATTTACAGCTTTGGGAAGAAAATGCAGAGAATAGTATGTTTGCCAAAAAAGGACACTTTGGGGTGACTCGGACTATTTTGAGCAGGTTACATTCACTAGATGACTTCAGTTGCATCAGAAGCAAGTATTTAAGCACCATTGAAACCGCCCAGCGTTTTCTAAATGAACTCTCTTAGTAGTCTGTATTGCAATACAACTGCAAGTGAGGGGTGGGGGGAAAGATCTAGATAGGGAAAATAGCAGAAGGTGGAGCTAATGTCACAGTATGTTCATATTTGTTTGCTTATTGGTTAGCATTGGAAGCTTTGGGACATCTGGGTTTGAATCTTTCTTGCCCCTGGGAATATGAATCAATGTTATCAATTTCCAGGACGATGTCCTAAATAATGGGATGCAAACTGTGTTCCCGGTATCTCTCCTTGTTGGCGTTCTGCTTTTGTAAGGTTCCTTGGACCGAGTCTGAGAGAAGCCCCGTTCTGAACGGAGCATTGAGGAGTGGGGCATCTGTGGTGTTCTTTGGAAGAAGAATAGATCTAAACCAGAGTCACAGTAAAGGATAAACGGTCATTTTAAGCCTCAATTAATATTTAAGTACACGTGCAAAGTGGAACAGAGGTAATAATGGGACAGACTGATAGAAACTTACTCGGTACCCACTGAGCTACTCAGTAGCAAGGTTTTGGTTGTTTCCCACGTTTTGGGAGCATATTGTAATCTCTTAGTTACTGGCTATGAAAGGAAGGCTCGGTGGCTAAAAACGATGATGTCTTAGCTTCTGTCATCAGTGTCTGAAAGCAAAGCAGTTGATGTTACAGCCTGGATTTTGTTTCTGGTTTTTTCCTCCTTTTCCCTCTCCTAAGTTTCCACTGTCCTGTGTTTATGTTCTCAGGTTTTTGGTTTTTGTTTTTCACTTACTAGGCTCTTGGTCAAAAGGTCTGCCAGTTTTGGAATCATCCAATAAATGCTAATTTCATTGCACGGAAATATGTGAAACTTCTGCTTGAGAAGCTGGGGAAGAGGCAGGTAAGAGCACATCAGCCTTTTTTTTTAACCTTTTGCTTTGACACTGTTGAGATTCCTGACCTTTCTGTAAACTGTAACACACTAAAGATAACACTGAAACTTGGCACTGTGCGACTTTGTGTACTAACCTGAAATATTCTCCCTTACAGCGTAGCAGGCCTATGCCTGAGAGACTCTCGGTCCCCGTAGAGTTTTTGCCACTCAACTACCTGACTAATATGCTGGCAGAGATAGAGAAACAAGGTAATGTTAAGTCTGTACTTTGCAAGACCAGTAACCGTTACTCTTTGCTTGCACTCGGACGTATCCTGACTATATTGACATAACTGAGTTCTAAAACTCCAGTGATGTCTGACCATGTAGGTTTGGTCGTCTTTCTGCTGATGGGAATTGTCAGGGAGCTTCTTCGCTGCATATCCTTTCATCCAGATCCTCTGTGTGTCGAATCCAGTCGGCAAACTTGCATTTTTCAGAACACATGTAGTGAAGCGCTGTTCATGTACAGCGTGGTGGTGGCAGTTACTCTGTGTTCAAATGGGGAGAAGGGCTTGTTCCTTATTTATACAGTATGGTGCCTAAGGGGCAACCAAAATCAGATCTTCCCCCTCAGAGAAGAGTACCCAGATCACTAGGTTAGGAGGTGCTCTGAAGTAACAGGCACTTTTTATTTCAGCGCTGTTCCTTTTTTTTGACATTAAATTCAAATTGGTTAGGGCACTTGCTTCATGCAGCAAACCTAAGCATCTGAAGATTTTTTAATTCCACTGAAAAAGCAAGGTGCGTTAAGGGAAGCATGATACTTTTAGTGTTACTGGCTATGCCTATACTAATAAAATAAAGTCAGGATAAGGACCTGAAGGCTAAAACAGGATTGTCCATGTATGGATATCATCCCATTTGGGGAGGAAAAAGAGTTCAACCATATAGAAGCATATGAGAATGTGCCCTGGTGCATCTTATGTACTAGCAGAAACATAGCCACCGTGCTTAAATCTTGTTTTGGATTTCCAGTGTGGAATTAGCATGGAAATCCCTAGCGGCCTCCAGAGATGGTCCGTCCTTTGCTTATAGCCTGCTAACAGGAAAGTTCCTGCCACGGGTGAGCATCCAAATGACTCCACGGACAGCTGTAGGGATTTATTTTGGGTAAATGAAAACGCAGGTCCATCTATTACCTTGTCTTTCAGTACTGTAGGTGAAGAGGTTTAATAGACTGCAGGATTGAGTGTACAAGAACATTTACGACTTTGCAAACACTGACTTTCTCACTATGTTTTTCTAGGTGTGCAACCATATGAAAACCAAGGTCATGTTAATGTAAGATTTGTAGAGGAAACAGCACTCAAACACACTATGACGCTTTTGGGCCTCAAATATTCCTGAAATAACATGCTGTTGAACAAAGCTAACTGTGGTACTCTTACATAAAAGTATTCACAAAGAAGTGTGCAACCAACTGTTTTTTGTGTTTGTTTTAAACTTAAATGTCATGTTGTTTTCCAAATAATCTGCAGTTTTGTGTAGCCACCATGACTGACATAAGCTACTCAAAATATTGTTTGGTGCAACGTATTAAGGCTGGAAACACTGACTTCTAGATAAATCCTAGGGAAATTCATCTGACACAAGCCCAGGTTTCCAATGAAAGATACCTCTGGTTTCATTGTTTCATGTTGAAGTGGTCAACTAAGTGGAACTACAGTGCGTATCCAAACACGCTGGGAAAATTGGTATTAACGTCAGTTATTTTAACAAGACAGACAATCCTGGAAAAGGTAGTCCAGTTGTATTGTACAGTAACAAGAAACGGGTAACTGTTTACTCATTTAGATTAATAAAACGATTTCTTGGTGTGTTTATGTGAAGCAGGTAAGAATAACAAGTGATGAATCGGTCTCTGTATATAATGCATCAGCAATGACGTATTCATTCCTTGTGGTGGTCACGTGTTATCTTACGGTACTTCTGCCTCTGTAGTTGGATTCTAATATGTTCAGTTTTGTAATTAGCACAAAATATAATCTTCTTAAACTGCATGTGACAGGGTTTTGTTTTGTTTTTTTAAGATATGTACACTGTAGTGTAAGCAATACAGGATAAGAAAGAAGTTCTCTAGAAATTGACCGTAATGGTGACTTGGACAGAGTTTTACTTAATTCTTTCCTTACAACTTTTAGTGTTACAGTTCAAACCTCAGCTTGAAAAAGAAATGATGGAGGTTTTTTCCTTCATTTTCAACTTTTATTTATATATAATTGAACCAGTGTTGTTTGGGTTTTTTTTAAGTTCTGAACAGTGACATTAATTTAAAATAGTAATAGTGGTTTGCTATGCAGAGAAAATCTGAAGTTCTGACATATGGGATTTCTGCAGTCTTTACTGGATTTAAAAACAACTCTGTCAAAGTTTCAGACTATCAAACTAGTGAAACTCATGACGATTTGATAGATTTTGGAGGTTTTCAGTAGCAACCTCTGATAATCTCTCTGAGCAGCTTCCACTACTGCTTCCTGTTCCTAACCAGTGAAATAAAAAGATCCAGTTCTCAGGAGTGACTCGGCAAGTTCATGGTCACTCCCTTGTCACTGCCATCAGTGGAGCAAGAGTTTTAGCTTTCTCAGTAACTGCACAGAGGGAAGGAATATTTTTCTCAATATAATTAAAATTTGTCTGGCAAGCGTAAACTCAATCCCAGACTGCAGAAAGCTATGTTGGCGCATTTGTATAAGCGGTGGGGACTTTGTTGGTATTATATTAACAACAAGAGAAGATTTTCTAGCCTTTTCGTTTTAATGAAATGTATTATCAAATATAATCAGATGCAATAAAACTTGACCTGGAAAAAAATAAGCGTAGTATGACGATCACTTATTTTTCTCAACGCTTTAAAATACTGCACTGCATTTGGGATACCAGGCTCCTCCTAGCCAGGAGAAGGGACCTTGTATCACTGACATTTAGCTGTGCTTCTGGCATTAACGACGGCTTTGTTTTCAGTATGGAATTTGGCTAAACACTAAGGGACATTCCTTCAGTGTGGTGTCAGTGCTATTGACCCTTGAGATTCAGCAACCGGTAATGGCCTCTCCTGCTCTAGGTGCTGTCTGTTCAGATTTCAATTGGCTTTACAATAGGTTTTCTGAAATGTCTCATATTTGAACCAGGTTCACTTGGTTTGAAAGGAGCCAGAGCGCCGTAGGGCCGGGGCAGTGGGAGGCTGTATTCATCATCTGGGATGTAGGCGGTTGGGGGGTGTTCAGCTGTCGTGTGGACACAGCCGGGCACTGCAGCTTGTTCCTCTTCTGCAGCATGCTGTGAAAGAAACACAGTTTGATCACTTAGTGATTATACGCGTTAAAACTCCGGTACTCTCCTGAGCCAATGTACAGAATGCCTAACGAAGGAAACACCATTAGTCTAATCCTTAGCAGATCAGGAAACCCAGAGGGTTATTAAGTGTTCATTGAAAGGAAAGCGTGAGTTATTGACCACGTAGATGTGAGTTTGTCCTTTTAAATAGCATGCAGTTTGAGCCTGTAATGCTTTTGTTATTTGTGAAGAAAACAGATTAGATGAACTTATAAGAGTTGTAATAAGTGTGCACAGAACATCTCGGGAATGGGATAATTGTTCTGATGCTTCAAAACATGGCTGTATTTATGCTGACAGCAGCTGTTCCTGAACAGAGTTACTGCAGTGAGCTTGTATCCACCGCACTGAAAGGAAACTGAGTCATAGCATGAGGAGAAGTGTTAACGACAGAGAAGTTTCTTATTCTAAATCAGTTTTACTGCAGCACTTCTGTGTGACTTCAAGTTCTTCAAGTGTATGCACAGTGTATTCCTCTCCCAGCTTTGTGCACCTTTCAGATTCCCTTTGGAGTGATCAGCTAAAGCATTCATATAGCAAAGCTGATTTCCCATCAGTGAGAGTTCCCTCAGTATACACATCTCACTTTTAGACGATTTCTTCTTCTCTGGGAGCTCTCTGCTCAGGGATCGCTGATGGTCTCAACTAAGGAGGCGTAGTATCCAGCAGGGTAGAATTTGAAGCACTATTTGATACGCTGCCCTACCTACCCTCAGTGTCTTGCCCAGCAATCTGATTTCTTGCTGCTTCTGATCTGATGTTCGCTGCGTCTGGTATGTGGAAGACGCTAAACTTATTTTTCCTGAACGCCACACCCCACCTTTTGCAGCTTTACCTTGAAATCAAATGGAAAGCAATACTTCACTGATGGCTATCTCGCCCATCCTCCCAAAACATGGTCACACAAATTACTTAACAATTGAAGGTCATTCTTCCTTTTAGTGTAATGTGTTCTCTCCTTAAGATTCAATGACCGGTCCTAAGTGGTGTGCCCGACTGCAGTTAAAGCTCCCCAAACCCACAGCGTACCACTTCTGTAGTTGTCTTTGCACCATCATCTCCACTGGCTCCTGCAGCTCCGTGTTGGGCAGTGAACAGCCACACTGAGCTAGCACAGCTCTTTTGGAAAGCCAAGCTAGAGCAGTGAAAAGATGGGGCTGAAGATCTAATTGCAACATATGGCAAAAACTTACTTTAGCTCTGGCTTCGGCTGCTTCTTTTTGCATCTTCTCATTGCGTAGTATCTTCAACCATTCATTTTCTGTTTCTTTGGGAGGGGGAAGGCCTTGGTCTAGCCTTGATGAAACAGTCATCAAAAATTGTTCTTTGTCTCTCACTTCCTGCTGGAGTTTAATGGCAAGTGCTTGCTTCATGGATAGCTCTGCAACAAGAGCCATCATCTTCTGGGTTCTGTCCTTTATCTTCTTCTGCAGTTCGTTTGTCTGGAATAAGTAACAACTACATTTTAGTTAGGGCTTGCCTTTAGACAATTACTTACCTAAGTGTCACAGCCAGCATTAGGTACGTGAAAACAAGTCCAGCTTGACTTGGTTTTAAAAAATAGTCCATACTTGAAAATGACAATGAAACAGGACGGGCGTTTCTGTGAACACTCAGAACTACAGAAACTGGTGGCGTAAAAAGTCACATTTGCTCCAATACAAGATACAGAAAGGCAGGTTTGTAATTACCTCCTGCCCTTTTCAGCTGAATAGCAAAACTCCCACTGCCCTCAAAGGCCTGGTACGCCCGTTCTCATTGACTTTGTAATAAAGGTGTAATAAGCCCCATCCTTACAAGATGATTGTGTGATAACACAGACGCAGCAGGGCTGCAGGTTGTGAAGTTATCCTTGGCATGGGGACGAACAGAAAAGGAACGGGACAGGAATCCTTGAGTCTGACTGGAGGCGATTTAAAGAAAAAACTCCAAAACTCAAATACTCTTTTAAAGTGACTAATAGGGAATTGGGAGAGTCAGAGCACTTGTGAGTAACTTTTGGCACGCTGCCATTTTTACAGTAGGTTATTAGCCTGTGGCCATAATTTTACAAACCCAAATAACAGCCATGTTATACAACCCAAAAAACCAGCCATGTTATTTCTCTGTGGAAAATTAAAGATTTGCTGTAAAGTTGTGTTTTGATTTAAGCATTTCCAAGTGCCAAACCGAACACCTAAGGAAAAAAAAATCAACCTTGGCCTTGTTTTACAATAATTACATTGCGGGTTTTTTCTCTTTCACTCAGCTCTGCTCTATTTGGAGCTTTTTCATTAAGGAGGTGGGGGTGAGAGGATTTTGCTGCTTCCCCAAATAGTATTACTGGCAATTAAAAGGAAAAAGCTATTATTATATAAAAGTAACTGTACTGAAAATGATACTTCTTTCCGGTGGTTGTCCCTACCTAAATAACAAAGAAACTTTGAGCTAGATAGCAAGTTTAGCTTTTTCTGTGTTGGAGGGGTATAGAACTTACCTGGTTTTTCCCTATTTCCTTTTATCCATAACGTGTTTGTTGTGGAAGGGCTGTTAAATACACACGCAAAAGGAGGATTCTTCCAAATTTCTAAGCACTCAACCTGAGAAATAACTAATCCTATATTTTGGTGAAAGGTACTATTCGTGATGCAACTTTCTTTCAAAAAGAAAGTACGCTTACCTAATGCTCTTGCTATGGCTATATTACAGTTGCTACTAAATGTAATAACGTGTTTGTTGTGGAAGGGCTGTTAAATACACACGCAAAAGGAGGATTCTTCCAAATTTCTAAGCACTCAACCTGAGAAATAACTAATCCTATATTTTGGTGAAAGGTACTATTCGTGATGCAACTTTCTTTCAAAAAGAAAGTACGCTTACCTAATGCTCTTGCTATGGCTATATTACAGTTGCTACTAAATGTCTATAATTTCTGAGGACTAACATATGATTTTCCTATCAGTATTTCCAGCAACTAGTTTTGTAATTTGCAAGTGAGTCACCTTACCTCTTGCCCAGATACTATTTCATTTTGTGTTAGGCCAGCAAGCAGAGCGTGCAATGCCCTTCTTACCCTTTTAGCTAACAGCAGCGTGTCCTGCTTCCCGCTCTCTGCCGTGGCACGGATTCTGTCCGTCAGCCGGGAAACGTGCTCGTAGAGAAAATCTGTCTCCAGCAACTTCTCCTCCTTCTGCACCAGCTCTACCTCTAACTGCAGCAAGAAGGAGTATACAGGGTGTAGGTAAACGACAGGGGAAGGTGCAACACAAGGTGTTGCTGTGATTGCTTTGAGAGCTGCTGAAATAATAACCAGTGAACAGCCATAAATAATCACTTCAACATCAGTTTTCTCAAAATTTTCACCCTCTCTGCCAAGTATCAGGCCAAAGTTTGTTCAGTTGGTTGCTGTCAGTCGTACGGTTCTTCCGTATCAGACCGGGCCCTTTTGGGGGGCAGGGGGTTACACCAACATTATTACTGCCTTGCTGTGATTTTCTTGACAGCAATGGGGTTTTTTTCTAGTGATTTTTTTTTCTTAATCTTCTAGTTCCTTGAGTCATGCCATAATAAGGTTTCAGCTCTTGCTTTCAATACCTCTTCCCTCCTGCTGCTAAAAAAAAAAAAAAAAAAGTATGGGCTCCAAAGACTAAA